TCTCTCTCTCTCTCTCTAACATTGATATAACTGGCTACCTTGCAACCAACTCGGAGTGGAAGATGTTCAATGTCACTGGGGGACTATAAGGGGAAAGGACCAAGTTGACATCTTTGCATAGGGCACATTAGACCCCTTGGTTTGCAAGGCAGATAGCCTTCTCGGTCTAGTCCTATTTCTAGCTCAGTATGAGCCTTCACTAGGACAACAGATTTGGTGAATTGATGGAATAATAATGGTGTCAAAAGAACTTAAAATATGTTCCGGTTTTCCTTGGGTGAAGGAAGGGAAGTGTGTTGTGATTGGCTGCTTTGACAATAGCTCACTTATTCTTGTTTTTTGTTTTTTCAGAAAGATGTGTCTTTTTGATTATTAGCAAAGCAATTTAATATTATACTGTGGTTTGAGAAATGTGACCCATTTGATCAATTAATATAAAGTTGCTAAACTTGCATTTTATCTACTCATTTCAAACTAACATGTAGTAATAGAATTGGAGTTTATGTATTTATTTATTCAGGTATATAACTAGGTTTACCACAATAGGCTATATATTAGTCCTAAAGCAGATTTCTCAACATCTCATGGAAACAATTTTGGCATGAAATAAATATTTTGCATTGTTATTATTTATGCTACTATTCTCTGCAAACTGATTTGGACAGTGAGAGTGACTGCATATAAAGTTAATTTAAAAAGTGATAAAATGTCAATCCCTATTAAATGACACATTTGACATCTTTGTGGGTTTTTAAAAATGAAGTACAGTTTTGTCATAAAGCTTCTTTATTTCAAAAGTAAACATTTAAGAGTGATGTTTAAATACTACTGCTCATTGTTCATGATGGAAAAAGTTTTACATGTGTAATTGCCAAAGTGTATGCTGCAGCACTCTGGGGCAGCAGAACAAATTCACAAGAGCACCATAGGATATTTTAAATTTTTGCAACGTCCATTTGCAATGCTGGGTTTTGTGACTTCCATTTGCAATGTCACGTCTCTGCAAAGGTCTTTTGGTCTAGAAATACTGTGAAAAAAAAATTCAGAGATACTAAGAGTTTCTGTGAACCAAGAAAGTTTGATTTTAAACATCTGATTTTTCTCTCCCGTAGCAAAACTTGTCTTCAGCAGCATGCTGATTAGAATCATCTAATTTTTATGCCCTGCCTCTTAGCAGTTTCAAGCCAAGCAGATGAAAATAGCTGGAATTTCTGATATATAGATGACAAGATTTACAAACAGCGGACTTAAAAAAAAAAAAAAACAAGCACAACTCATTTCAAAGCATTTTTCCCTCCACAATTCATTTCAAAGCAAAAAAATTTCATTCCTTTGGTTTTTTTTTTAAAAAAAAAGACAAAGAGGATGAGGAGGGCACGAAGAAGAATTTTGCTGAAAGAGTAGAGTTGCTTTGTTTTTTATACCATGATGAGTGAAAGAAATGTTTAAAAAATATCACTTTACACTGAGATCTGTACTGAAATGTGAGGATGTGATTCAAGCCAAGCCAAAAATTGAAGCTCAGAATTAGAAGGGATAGACATGGCTTGGGAATCCATTTTCCCACATTCCTCAGCCTCAGTCATCCCAGCTAATGTTTAAAAGAAAATGGAGCGTGGAAACAATGAAGTCATTTTGTTTAGCTAAAAAAAAGAAAGAAAGAAAAAAAAAAACCTTGGAAACCACTTTCAAATATTTTCTTTCTTTCTTTCTTTCTTTCTTTCTTTCTTTCTTTCTTTCTTTCTTTCTTTCTTTTTTAAATAAGCAAGTATATTTACTGGAACCACTTCTAAATTAATGGGGAAAATACTACTAATGGCACAGGTTTCCGAGCACATAGGTAGAAATAAGACACATACAGAGCTTATGCTCTGTCAGTTGTCACAACCAGCTCTTCACAGAAACCTTCTGACGTTGCTGTTATCAACAGTGCTTTTTATTGAAATGAAAACTTCTCACTTGACAGAAGCAAGGCAATGTAGAAAATTAAATTTAAGGCCCAAGCAAAGCTATTTGTAAATCTTACTATAAGTGCAGAGGTAAATGTATAGTCAGTGTTTCTACAATTCCACCTTTTCTATGATTGCCCTTTTTCTTGGTTTATATATATAGCGAATAAAACATTCTATCGTTATGCAATGGGAAGGAGACTGAAGAAAAGAAAAAAAATATCTATAGCTGAAGATTGACAACAAGTGTACTTTCTGGTGTGGAAGAGAAAAATCATTGTTGGTTGAAAATGCTTAATGAAGTTTTAGGAGGTCACAAGATGCAACATAGCCATCTTGCATATGCCTATGCCAGTTGCATAGAAAGACATTGCATTATTTTCACTCCTGTTTCATAGCTTAGCTTGAACCTGTGTGGCCAGATTTCTCCTGAAAACTTAGCCATATAGCTACCAAATAACTATTTTCCTCTGAATCTTAATGCTGAAGAAGGTCCAGGGATCACAATTCAACTGCTACCCACCTCTGTACTTTTAAAGTTGGAAGGATGGACAGCTGCTTATTAATAAACACTGCCTTCACTATTTTAAATGTGATGAGCTAAAATGTTAAAGCCTATAGAAGTGTCCTAGAGGATATATTTAAGTGAAAGAATTTACCTAAACATAGACATAAATTGAAAATGAGTGCCATGGTTTGTAAATTATAAATTATATAAACTGAGTATTTTTATATAAGGCTCATTGGAAAGAAAAATAATATTTAATCGCTATCCTAGATATGAAGTGGAAAGCTTCTAAGATTTATGGTGGGAATAAGTTGCAACAGCTGCATTTTTTCCTGACTGAAATCTTGAATACAATTTGGATTATAGTCCCTGGGATGGGGATGGGGGTTGTTCATATTATCTAAAGCTCCTTCAAATAAAAAAAAGGAGGGTGAAACAGCAATGTGCTCTAAGGGAAGGCTAGAAATATGTCTTAGTGATAAACACCTTTTTGAAACATCAAATAGTCAGCATATATTAAACTAGAAATTGGATTTTATGGTAGTGAGTGGGTGTCATGATAGAATAGTGTTTACCACCAACATTAATGCCATCTGTAAATTTACAAATTTTGAAATTGTTTGTTTTATGTTTTACTCCCTTAACTATTTTAAGGTCTATCATGAAGAAACCCTGATCGTTAGATAGTTTTCATTCTAGATAAAAGTCTGCTTTGAAGTTGAAGTATTTTCTTTGAAAATTGTTCAGAAGTTTAATGTTTAAGATCAGCCATTTGAAAAAAAATATGTACTCTCTCCCAATTCCCCCTTTCTCCTTCAAACATATGCAAACAATAGGCCCAAACCTATTTTCAAAATAAGTAATTTCTAATCCAGCTAGGATTATGCAGCTATGAAAAGTATATCCAAATTTACCAATTTATATTGCATAATTTGGTTTTGATTGCTGACATAAACCAGAAAATACATGGCATATATTCACTTTAGCAGATGTATTGTTTCAACTTTTATCTTCATGCTACCATATTGAATAACATCCCAAAGAACTGCTAACTGGAACTATTTTACTAATTTTTTTTTTAAAAAAACATTCTTAAAAATATAACATTTTCTATAAGTCATCCTTGACTTAAGACCAAAATTGAGCCCCAAATTTATGTTGCTAAGTGAGACATTTGTTAAGTGAGTTTTGCCCCACTTTACGAATTTTTTGCCACATTTTTAACTGAATCATGGCAGTTGTTAAGTTAGTTGCATGTTTGTTAAATACATCTGGTTTACCCATTGAGTTTCCTTGTCAGAAGTTCACAAAAGATGATGACATGATCTCGGGACACTGCAACCATCATAAATGTGAGGCAGTTGCCAATTGTCTGAATTTTGATCACGTGACCATGGGGAAGCTGGAACACTTGCAAGTGTGAAAAATGGTCATAAGTCACTTTTTTTAGTGATGTTGTAACTTTGAATGGTCACTAAATGAACTATTGTAAGTCAAGGACTACCTGTGCATATTGCTTGGGTCATATTTAATAACATTGTAAAAGGTTTATATAAAAATACTAATATAACCTGGCTGGACAAATGTATTTGAAATGTGTTCAGATACATTCATCCAGATTTAGAATAGTTCAAGAAAGATTATTAAACTCTGATTCCTCAGTCAAGGCAGAAACAGATTTTTATTCATTACATATTTGGTGATGACATTCATTGATGAGATATTTCTCTCCAAACCAACTTGTCTGTTTGTATCATAACTACAGTACATGTCATTGACCTAAACAGTGATTTATAACGTTCTTTTAAAAACTAGTTTATACAGTAAAAGCAGATAAAAACCAGCTAAATCTAAATTTATTTTTTGTCTATTTAAATAAGTAAGTTTTAATAAAGTAAGACTTTATTATTGCTACTAATAAAGATGAGATATAAATAAAATATATTGGTTCAGAAGAAATTAAGTTAAAATTAATCATTGTTAATATCACCATGAAGTATCCCTTGATGATAGTTACATTGTGAGTAAGGATTTGTAACGGGAAAAAGCTGAAGAAAATAACAATGTGCTATTTATGTTCTCTTAACTCAATTCAAAGATCAGATTTTATATTTCTGTTTAGTGTCCTCAGAATGCCATCCAAATTAGAATATAGTCATATCATATAGTACGCAGAGATCCAAGTGTGCTGAATTTATATGAAGAAGTAAAATTCCACGCTTAATTGTTTGACATTTGATGTTTCTTTTTTCTTTGTTTCAAGAAAATACAGTCACTATATAGTCCTTCAGGTGTTGTTCAACCCTAGTTTCCATCAGTCGTAAGGAGAACAGCTAGTGCTAAAGTGTAATTGGTACTGTAAAATGTAATCCAGAACATCCAAAAGGCCAGAGGGAAAAAAGCTTTACAGAATATTGGGTGAATTATTATCAAGGAGTTCACAGAAGTATATATTTCTCTTTATTTGTCACAGCAGTTATAGTTTCTTGACAGACAGCATAATACTCACTGAAGCCAATATGAAGTATGTCTTTATTTTCCAGGTCTGGATGTTGATGGAATATACAGAGTCAGCGGCAATCTGGCAACGATACAGAAGTTACGATTTGTTGTCAATCAAGGTAAGTGATTCCTTTGCCCTGCAATGTTTTGTTTAGTACTTATCAGTCTGAAATGACAATACAATGGATTTTACAAGCTGTGGTGCATTAGTGGTACAGAATGATGAGTGGCATTTTACAAAAGAGAGGAGAAGTGAACAGATACAGCCCATATCTAAGAACAGTTTGGAAGAGAGGAGAGGAGAGAGATGCAATTGTCAAATTTTATAGAAAAAGAAAGATAATAAAAAGGCAAACAGATTTCTATCTCTTTTCAGAGATGGAATACTGATAAAGATAAAGAGCTGTGGTGGCCAGTGGTTAGAATGCAGCATTGCAAGCAAATTCAGCTCACTGCCAGGAGTTTGATCCTCACTGACTCAAGTTGACTCAGTCTTCCATCCTTCTGAGGTCAGTAAAATGAGGACCCAGATTGTTGGGGGCAATGTGCTAACTCTGTAAACCGCTTAGAGAAGGCTGTAAAGCACTGTGAAACGGTATATAGTGTAAGTGGTACTGCTATACTGCAGTCTCAATTACACAGTAGAAAGAGGTCTAGACATGGAAGGATTATCAGAATTGGGAGAAGAAACTAAAACTAAGGCACTTAGGAATAGTGTAATAATAAGAGAAGAGAGAGAAATAAAGGAATAGTTAAGATAAATTTAAACTTTTTGCGACTTCACTAAAAATAGATCCACTATTTTTCCACATATGTACAAGCTCTGCAATACTAAAAATCAGATCTATTGCTCTTCCACATATGTACAAATCAATCTTAGACAATAAGAAAACAGACTTCCAAGGATTTAATGGTCCTGCAGACTCACACAGATCCCAACTAACCATTATGTAAAAGGTTCTGCTGGGCCTAAAATGATCATTTGACCTGAAAGAAGAGCATCTTTGACAAGAATACAATAGCATACCGAATTAATGAAATAATTTTTATTCAAGTCCATATGTTTAAATAGAGTAACTGGCAAATGTTACCTTCCTAATTAAAAGGCAATGCACTTTAGTATTGGAATATACTAATACCACTGGTGTTACAGTCTGTATGGGATAAAATAGAAGCAAAAGGCTACAATTAAGAGAGGGAAGATTTAAATAATACTTCTAAGTATTCTTCGTAATTAAATCCTTAGATATAGTTCAACTTAAAAGCAAAAGACCATCAAATATTTGGAAAAGGAACAGCATATATTCCTGATGCTCATTTTTAAAGAAAATATACAGTTGTTATGGCTCTAAATCTGAAACTGTAGGAGGCTTAGATGATTAGCCTGTTTCAAAATTGTGGCACATTTTCCCCATTTATAATCTTTCTTTCATCTTTATTATAGGTCTTGGCCTTTTAGCTAAGAATGAGTATAAAATTATATTTATTACAGCCTCACAGAATCTCTGCTATGTCATTTCATTTCATTTAGATCCTTCACCTTAAATAAATAAGTTTCAATTCCAATATGCTGCACTTCAGGGTGTTTGAGTTAGACCTCCCATCATACCTAACCATTGTGGTCATTGAGAGCACCAAGCCAGCGTAAGTTGACATAAAACATATTTCCCGAAATAAGTATGTCTTTCATTTCTTTATATTCAGAATAAAATAATACTTGTCATTCTAATTCATTCAGTGGAGACAGGAACTAGAATTTCCCAAGATCCCTGAGCCAAAAACCAGTTGTCTCTTGCTTTACACCAAAGTTCATATCTTTTCTTTATGTGACCCCAGGGATATATATAGATAATCACCTGAGAACCTTTGCCAGTGTAGAATACTTTTCCAATAGTATGAGACCCAAAATTTGGAAAGCCCTTAATATCACTGTTAAATCCTTGACAATTTAATATCATTGTTTATCATACTGGTGGGTATCTATTGGGTTATATTGCAGTAAAAGGGAGCTTCTGTTGAGTTAATTTCAATTCTTGCTGATTATATGGATTCATCATCCACATTTTCTAGGCAACAATGCAGAAATGATGCCATTGTCCTCTTCTGGGATTTGTTTTTTGGGGTTTTTTTTTGGGGGGGGGGTTCAGTTTCAAATCTAATATGTAGTATTGAGATTTCCTAGTGGTTTCCTCTTCTAAATATTTATATAGTTGGCAATAATTGTAAATTATAAATTAGTTCATTTTGCCTCTGCTTTGAGTTCTGAAAGTAGCAATCCCATGAGAGTCTTTTGATTTGTTGATATATTTGTCCATTGAATCAAAAGTATGTGGTTAGGCAAAAGTTGATAAGATCCATGATTCTGGATATTGGTGTATATGGTTAGGTTGGGTGTGCTATGGAGCAGCTCAGTCATGAATTCTTTGGCTAATTCTGGGTGTATGGATGTGAAAAGGGTTGTAATATCAAATGGGGCCATGATTTCATCCTTATCTATTGTCACATTTTTTTTTATTCTTTGGACACCCTGTAGTGGGAAGTTGATAAAGTATATGCTTCACCCTGTGAGCTATCTAAGCTTTTTTGTTAACTCTTTCACATCCACCACTTAATTCTCTTAATTCTTAATTCTCATCCATCACTGCTTCTCTTTGGTGATTTGGCCTTTCTTGGTGAGGTCACTGAGAGTTCTCTTGATCCAATTATCTAGTTCCTGTATCGGACTGGTATTCACCGGGATATAAGTTTCTTTGTCTTCTACTAATTGAATTCCCCCAAAACTCCACTTCCAGCCCAGAGTTAGGTCCAGGAGCTTGGGCAGGAAATCTGCTACACAACAGGGGGGCTGGTATAGCAACAGCAATTTTGTTCCTTGAGGCCAACTGAGCACTTGTGGACCAATGTCCCTGGAGGCCACCAGAGATTCTCTGATGACAACAGCTATACCCATTCCCTGCCCTGTATTTAGGCAGGGCCTTATTCAAGATGACAATGAAGGTGCTTGCTGCAAGGTGATTGAGGGTTTGGTGAAGTGGTATAAGAAAAACACCCTAGTTTTAAACATTGGTAAAACCAAAGAGATCATTGTCAATTTCAGAAAAGGTATGCACAGACACGCTCCTCTGTGTATTAATGATTCACCCATGGAGATGCTTTCCAGCATCAAATTCCTGAGTGTGCAGTTAACAAGTAGGCTGGCTTGGTCGCTCAACAGTGAGACACTGGTGAAGTGGGCACCTGCATTTTCTGCATTGCATGAGAAAAGTACATCTTCCTTCCCCTGTCCTTACCACTTTCTACAGAGGGACGATCGAGAGCATCCTGTCATACAGCATAACAGTCTGATTTGGAAGCATCAGTGCTTCAGACAGGAAGGCAGTGCAGAGAATGGTGAGGATGGCAGAAAAGATTATTGGCAGTTCCCTCCCTTCCATCCAGGACATGGCATAAAAGTGTTGCTTGATCAGACTTCTGGTTTTTGCACTGTAGCGCACAGCTGCAGGATTGCGGAGCTCTGCACCCCACGGCTGATTTTACCCTTCCAGGGGATCCTAAATGGGTCTGAAGTTGCCCCTGAGAGATGACAAAGAAAGAGGGATGCCTGATGATCACAAAATGATGGCGATCATTCCGTATGATCCAGGGGAAACCCTCTAACCCAATAAGAGAAAGGCTAGCTGCACACCAGCATCTAGCCCAAGGTACTTGCAGCCGAAGTCCAAGAGCACGAACCAAAACAATGGTGAACAGTGTGCTTGGAACTGGTGAGAATGTCGATCTTCTCTCCTCTACTCTGTAACTAAGTCCTTGGGAAAAATCCCCAAAGTAAGAAAACCTCTGAAAGTGAAGGGAGGGGACTATGCCACCACTCCCTCATAGATGGAAGTGGCAAATTAACCTTTAAGGGGGAAATAAATATATTGAAATCAAAGTTAAAATACTATAGTCTGGATAAATCTAGAAATTAAAAAACCCTGCCTGCTAAGATTATACTTTAAAGGGTTTTGATGAAACTATAAAAATAATAAATAATAATAATAATTTTTGCCTGAAAAAGTTGGAAAACAAACAACTACTGACACCTAGTGGAAACTAGAACATAGAATATTAACAACACTGACTCAGAAATTGGCAAGACACCCAGAAACAAAGAATAATCTGTTCCTTTGAACTTTAATAACCCTCAGAAGACAGCTGGGTGGGAACAAAAAAAGAATACATACTGGGCCAGCCATAAGATTAAAAAGTGTCTGAAGGAAAAGAAATACTCTGACTGTTGTTTAAATTCAAGAATTGTTTACAGAAAAGGAAAAACTTTGACACTGGGCTAATCTTTTAGGGGGGGATTTACAGGAAGGACTCAAGGTGGCTAAATATACTGAATTGCAATTTTGACTGGTTGACAACTGACCCCCGAATAAAAAAATTGTTATAAAATACTGATTTTACTGATGCCTTGACAATTCTGAGTTTGGCTGGTTTGACAAGGCTAATTATAGAGACTATGGCACTGATGAAGGACTATTTGAAAGGGGGAGACAACATGGATATTGCATACTTATCAAAAAATGACAGAAAACCATGTTTAATACTTACTCCTGAAGGACCTAGCCTGGAATATCAAAGACCTCCAGAAGCAACATTTCAAACAAGACAAATACTTTCCAGGAGGAAATGTATGCAATACTATGACAGATACAAATGACAATAGCTTCAAACCACAAGGAGATAAAAAACAACTTTGATGACATAAATGAGCACATCTCTAATCTAAACCCATAATCAAAAAACACTCAGAAAATGATGGTAAAGAACATAAACTAGAAGAAAATCAGCAAAGCTACAAATGAAGAGAATTATAATTTAATGCAAACAGGAAAAAAACCTACTTTGACATAACAGTAAAAATGGAAAAGATACTTTATTCATCAGAACATCAAAATAAACCTGAGGATAAGAAAGATTTAACAAAATGGACTATAGAACTGCCGGGAGAACCTTTAGAGTTCAGGAGACAAAAAGCATATATTCTACGCATCCTGTCTTCTCCACTCCCAACAATACTTACAAAAATACAAGAACTTGCTGGCAAGCAGAATATATCAACTTGGAAAGCTAC